CTGCCCCACATGCCTACCCTGTCAGCCTCAGGTTTGTGGGTCCCTCCACAAAAGGGAGTCTGTGGAGGACAACCAGGGCCACGGTGGAGCCACACGGGGCAGTCCTGGGATGCCACGGTCCTATGGGCGCCTCTCTCTGGACTTGGGACGGCCAGATCTACCTGGAGAAGGAGCAAGCCCTGCTGCTGACATTGTAGGGAAACAGATAGAAAAGCCACCTCACGGAGGGCCCTCGATCTCACCCTCTCTATTTGGATTCCACCTCTCAACCCAGAAAACCGTTTCGGAGTTCCGGGGGCACAGGGACCCGGGAAGTTCCGGGAAGAAACACACCCACGAAGCAGCTCACGAGGCCTTTACCCTGAACCAGGACTCCAGGTCTTCCTGGCCCGGGCGTGGCGCAGGGAGCTGGGGATCCGCCTTCCTTTCCCGCTCACCTGGCCCTCCGGCAGCCGAGCGCTCAAGAATCAGATCAGCTCGCGCTGGGTGGTGTTCAGAGCCAGGTCCTCCTCGGCCCAGGAGCCTCGGCTTTGGAGCCCCGCGCTCAGGCCGGCCTGGGGGCACTGGGGCACCGGCTCGCCTATGAGCTCCGCGGGGCACAGCCTCCCATCCATGCTCACCTGCGTGTTCCCTCACCCTGCTACCCGCACTCACTCTCCTGCCACAGCCCGTCCATCCTCGCGCACTGGTTAGCACAGGCTGGAGTCCCCTTCCCGAATCCCTAGGCAGGTTTGTGCGTCCGGAGGGCCGAAATCATAGCAACACACACACACACACACAGAGGAAGGGCCCAGTCTCTGAGCTCAAGTCCCTCGATCCTTCTCCACCTGACATTCAACACAGAAACATTTACACCTCTCCCCTCGGAAGCTTGCTGGCGAGATGAGGGCGTTGGTGGCGTCAGGGAGGCAGAATCCCCAGCGCTCAGACTCCCATGCGCCCGAACTCAGCTGGTCCTTGTTCTTCCCAGGGCCCAAATGGTGTTTCCTATAAGGACCGGGGAAACCGAGGACTGCAGCCGGGCGTCTCTCCCCGGATCTCCCTGGCCCTTTAACCTTTGCAATGCGCCATGCCGTCACTCCATGCCCCCAGGTGGACCCCAGGAGATGCGCTTCAGGGGAGGGACAGCAGGTGCTGCCTGGCCCGAGCCCGGGTGAGAGCTGCCTAGCTCGGAGGGTCATGGGGCGGGAGGGGAGAGAAAGCGGAGGAAAATTAAGAGGAAGCTCAGCCAGCCCGAGCTTCCCTCTGCTCTCTCAGGAGCCCTTGGCTTTAAGCCCCCAAGCAGAGGAGGTGGCTGGGTTCCACCTTCTCCATTCAGTTTCACCTTGGAGGGCTGCGGAGGGTTGCATGGCTGTGGGGCCTGGGAACAATGAAAGGCGAGCGTGGTCACAGGAGCAGAAGAAGGAAACCCGGTTTCTAGCCACTGCGTCCAGTCCCTTCCTCCCTCCCATCGCCCGCCCCCGCCCCCGTCCCCTGAGCAAAATGCCTGGTTTCTGTGCTGTCAGGGGAGAGAGGGGCAAGAGGGAGGGGTGACCTGTTTGGTCACCTGGGAACCCTGTTTGGTGGCCTCTCACGGGGAGCGGCTGTATTTTCCTGGCTACATCTGTGCAAAAGTTACCTGCTAGAGGACTGGCTGGTAGAGATTTATATGGTGGGCGAGTAGCTATGTGGGCTTATTTTCAGAACCTCTGCCTAGTTTCCCCGTTTAAATACACGTTTTCGGGCTTAGCTTTCCAAGAGGGAAGGCAAGAGGAAAGTTGCAACAAGTAGTGCAGGGTCCATGCCTGAGTTCCCTTCACCGAATAAAGCTGGACGGGCACCTTGCCCCCTATTGGCCAGCGAGCGCATTGCGCAAACCCAGTGATCCCACCTAGACCTTGAGCGAGGGGGCCAGGCCCAGGTAGGATCCTTGACTTGTTACCACCTTGGAGTCGGGGGCAAGCGTTTCTCTCTCTCTCTCTCTCTCTCTCTCTCTCTCTCTCTCTCTCTCTCTCTCTCTCTCTCTCTCTCTCTCTCTCTGACTCTGAGACTTGATGCTGAGCCATGCCTAATGCTGAGCCATGCCCAATGCTGAGCCATGCCCAAAAGCTTTCCTGCGAGGCCAGTCCCGCAGGTGTGGGGCTGGGACTGGCTGCTCGCAGGGCCACCAGTGTGAGTGTGGATTTGCGTGCTTCGGGAAGAAGCATGATGCATCTTTGTGCTTGTGTGTGTGAGCGTATGTATTTGGGAGGGGTTCACTTGGGAGTGTTTGTTTTGCCTGAGGACATGTTAGTGTGTTTGTGGAAATGGGTCATGGGTCTGTGTATAGGTGTGCCTGTGGACATATGTGGGACAGTCCCTGTGTAGCCACTGCATGTGAGGGGGTGAGTGTTTTGGGTGCCATTCACAGTGCCTGACAGATAACTTTCCGTACTAGTGAGTCAAATGATACATGTGTATGCTTGTGCCCGTGTGAAAGGTGTGCACAGCCTGTTTGCCTGTGTATCTGGAAAACAGGGGGCAGGCAGGGTTGAAGCAGGCTCTGGGGGTTACTGTGCTTCCCCTTTCCAGAAGTAAGCCAGGTCTGTCAGCCAGGCTTCCTGCATCCCATGAGCCTCTCTGTGCCCTCAGGCAGTAGCTGGCTCTTCATGCCAACCGTCAGCGGAAGTCAGGTCACCAGGCCCTGCAAGTATAGACCAGGTCCCCTGAGGACCTGAGTGTCCCCTGCGAGCAGAGCCTCCAGGAGAGGCTGAGGAAGTGCCAGAACGTGGGGGTACTTGGTGCGGCACCAGAAAGACCAGTTTTAAAGTCCTCTGGCGGTTCATTCCCTTGACCTCCAGTCCTTCGCAGAACGAAGGCATAGCCTCTGCGCCAAGTTAGCCCACCCATCTGCGAGGTCTTGACTGGGAAGTAATCCTTGATGCTCAGAAAGTCCCCATGAAAGCATTTCGGTGAGCGCTGATTTTACCAGAGAGAAAAGACTTAGAAGTTCCTGAGCTCAAGGATCACCCTGCGGGAACAGTACCTCTTCCCTTCCCTTCCCTTCCCTTCCCTTCCCTTCCCTTCCCTTCCCTTCCCTTCCCTTCCCTTCCCTTCCCTTCCCTTCCCTTCCCTTCCCTTCCCTTCCCTTCCCTTCCCTTTGTCGGGGTGGCAGGTTTGGTCCTAACAGTCCTGGTGGCTAAAGTGGGACATGTTCGGTATTTACAGCAACCACAACCTAAAACACATCGATTTCCTCTAGGAGGGACATCCCACCCGCTTGCCAGGACTGGCTAGACGGGTTGCTTTATAGGAGAGGAGGGGGCTCGATCCCCAGAGGGGAGGGATGGCTGCAGGTTAATTTACTGTCACAGAGGAGCCCAGGGCACACGACGCTAGGAGGTGCGCCCCTAGCTGGCCAGCCAAGCCCAGGCGCCCTCTTGCCTCCATTTACAACACCCGCCTGGCCCGCCTGGCCCGTGGGGCCAGCCTCCCCGAGTCTCCTCTGACTTCTCCCCTCCCCACCCGTTCTTCTCCACTCCAGAACGCTGTTGTTTCCTGAGCTTGGAGGACTTTGCTCTACGGCCACACACAAGACTTCTCCTGCTTCAAGGCTAGAGGAGCCGCTGCCCGTGGGGCCAGGGAATCTGCCCAGTATCAGTCGGGTCTGGTTCTGGGAACTGCGATCATCACTAAGGAGTGCTCCCATTCAGGAAACCTCCATGACCCGATCTGTTCCCCATTCTCGGTATTTCCCAACCCGGTGCCCACGCTCCGCACAGACTCCCATTTCCTCCCCGGAGCTGAACAGAGAGGTGGTGAGGGCACTGCTTGGCCTGTGGGGGAAGAGGAGACCCAAGGAGGAGTGGGCCGTCCCCTCCCCCATCTCTCCTGGAGCTCCCTGGACAAGAAAAGCCAGAGGGCTTTGGAGGAGGGTTCTGAGTTTTGAGTTTTCCACTTCCACACCGTGCGTGCGCGTGTGGGAAGGTGTCTCCGGGTTTTGGGACTCGGGGCATCCCTGCCCAGAATGGTCCGCCGGAGTGTCCAGTCCCGGTAGGGTAATCAGACACTGTTGCACTCATGGCTCACGGTCCTCGTGGTGTATATCCATATATATTTATCATTTCTAATTTTATTATAAAATAAAAGCAGAAATATTTCCTGAAGAACATTCACATGAGGGCGCGACAGGGAGATGGCAAGTCCGAGGCTCGGGAGGCACGCTCTGGCGGGAGCACTGTGGTCATGATCCAGGAGGAAGAGGAGAGTGCAGGGCTGGGAGGAAGCGGCCAGCGGTAAGTTGGGGGGAGGGTAGGGGGGCCGGCAGGGTCTTCTCACCGCTGCCCTTTCTCTTTCAACGAAGTTACTAGGGCAAAGCTGACACCTGCAGCCCCAACGAGCCCTCTGGGAGGGCCGCTGGAGATGGCCTGCATTCAAAGGCTGTCTTTCCTTTGCTTTTCCCCTCCTACCCCCAACCTCCGAAATCCAGGGGTGGCAGTGGGGGTCAGAAGGCCAGGCAGGGGGAAAAGACTGAGGGGTACAGACCCAGGGCCAGGATACGCGAGGCTGGGAGGGAGGAGAGACAATCAGAGAGAGACAGAGAAACAGAAACCTGGTGAGAAATGACAAGCCAGAAATATAAAGGGAAACAGAGGCAGAGTATAGAAGGGGAAAGCAAGAAAAGGAGAAAGAGAGCAGAGAAGAAAGGGAGAAAGAGAGAAGCGAAGAAAGGGAAAGGAAGACAGCGCGAGGGAAGAGAGAACAGACAAAGAGAAGCAGAGAGAAGATAGGAGAGAGAGCATAAGAACTGTGTATAATTTATTCCCTTCCCTGGTTCAAGACCCGGTCCCAGGTCTCCAAAGGTTCTCAAAAACCAACGTGTTGTGGGGGGGAAAAAACATTCCCAGCAAAGGCCAAACCCGAGGGCCATCCGCAACACCCGGGCGGTTCTGCCCGCTCGCCTGCGGGTCTCTCAGTCCCTGCGGCCTCTTTCAGTCCCCGGTGCCAGCCGCGGAGGCCCGTGCCCCGGGGCAGGTGGGGCTCTAGGAGCCCAGGTCCACCAGGTTGGCTGACATGGGGTTGAGGATGGAGTCCTGCAGGCCGTGGTGGTGCTGCAGCGGGTCCGCGCCGCCTCCGCCTGGCACGGGCACCGGCACGGGCACGGCGCTGGGGCCCGGGGGGTGGCCCAGGCTGTGCAGGGATGGCAGCCCGGGGGGTGGCGGCGGGCTGAGCAGCAGCGCGGGGCTGGAGGACGAGTGGTCTGGCGTCCCCGACGGCGTCTTCTCGTCCTCCGAGCTGCCTAGCACCGACTTGCCGCTGCCATTCAGCGGGTTGTGGCTGTTGGAGTTGGAGTTCTCGCTGTTCTCCCTGCAAGTGCGGGAGCAAGGGCGCGGGTCAGCGGGGGAAACGGAGGTGGCTCAGCGCTGCGGCACCTGGAGCCCCAGCCTGCGTCCTCCTGGGAGCCAGGGCCTCCGGGCTCCGCCTGCGTATTTGGTTTCTACCATCTTATGTTTGGCCCGGCCTGGGGCTCTCATTCTTCCTGCCAGTTCTCAATCTCTCAACACCGATTTCTCGACTCTCCTCCCAGTGTCATCTCTAACGCCCCACCTCTCATGCTCTCAATCTCATGAAAATCATTCCTGCTCTCTGTATATTGCTCCTCTCTGCCCCGCTCATTGGCCTGCTAACATTCTCCCCCTCCCTTCTTCCCAGAGCAGAGGGGTAGGGAAGCGTGGCTCCCAGGAGTTGGTCTGGCTTTTCACATCTTGGCTCTGCTATCCAGGGTTGGCTGGGTAGATGTAGGGCCGGGAGAGTGAGGGGCCCTCGATAGTAGACACTTAAAGTTGGGGACCCCAGAGGCCCTCATCTCCTTTTCCTTTCCTCTGCTGGAGGGAAACCCCTCACGGCGGGCAGGTTCCCGGAACTGAGTCCTTTCCCTCCAGCTCCAAACTGGCAGGCCTGGTGAGGGGTCACCTGGTTGGGGCTAGCGACAAAGCCCTACAGATGCAGGACCCCCTTCCCCTGGTGGCACAGTGAGAACTTCCTCTGGGGGACTGGAAATCGGGGGCTTGGGTGGCAGCTCGTGGGAGATTGGGGACAGGAGAATGAAGGGGCCTACACTTTCCCGTCACCCAGGAAAAGGAAGGACTCTGCGGTCCTCACCTGAGGCCTGGCCTGAGAACCAAGTTCCTCAGGAGTCTGGATCATGCCAGTCTGGATGGAAGGGGACCCTAGCCGCGAGAACCCACCTCCTTGCCCTTCCTTTGACTGGCAACCCTGCCAGATTTGAAGGTTTGAAATCTTGGGTAGATTTTCTTCACCGGCTTTCCAAGGCCTTTTCTTCCCGTTTTCCTGGAAGGGAACTTCCCACAGAGCTGATACCCTACAACTGTGGACACCTTAACCTCATGGTTTCAGAGACTAGGGTCCCCCTGACGTGCTCCACCCTTCCCCCCACTCCAGAGATCTGGTTCCACTGTTCAGTACTTCCACCTAACCCTAGACATGCAAACTCTGGCTTACATACACCGGGTGCCACCAACTCCAGGGATCTTGTTTTGCTGTCGCCCAAAGGCTGGATTCTGCTCCCACATTCAGTTTCTCCCTCATATCCTCACCCCTGGCCAGATTTGGATTTCTGAGGGGCCACAGGGCTGGCATCCACAAGGACCTAGATCCGTGTTAGCCTAGTTCAGAAAGTTTTGCTTTCCCTGAGGACAAGCCACTCTCAGCCTTTCCACTGCTCTCAGCCTACCCCAGACCTACACCTACCCACCACGGTGGGCAAAACCCAAGGAGAGAGGGGTCCAGGGCATGGCAGGCCAGAGAAGGGCTGCTGAGTCCAACAAGGCAGAAAAAGGGGCACAGGCGTCTCTTCTCTCCCAGAGCTGACACTTGCCAGCTTTTGGCCTCCTCGTCCTTTCTATGCGGGATAAAAGATTCTTGCTGTCAACTCCTCTATCCAGACAAGGAAAATTCTTGTCCGGGCCACCCTCCGAATTCAGGTCAAACCAGGGAAGTTCCAATCCCAGGCTAGTTAGTGGGCCTAGCACTGAGTAAGGCCCACGGAAAATGCAGATTTGCTACAAGTGCTAGCAAATTCGCTTAAGCCTCCCGAAATCACCAACCCGGACAGGCCAAACGCACTCAATCCTTCGGAGGACTCTCAGGCTCTGCCTGCTAAGCCCCGCTTGCAGGCGACCCAGGATCACTGTCTTGCTTTTTGCCTGGAAGCTCACTGCGTCTCCATTTTTTTTTTGTCCACAAGCGACCCGGGGCGGGCATCAGCCAAAAACTTCCCCGATTGCTTTGCCCGCTTTAGACAAATCTCTGCCCTCTGGGTCTCCCCAACGATCTCAGCGCTGCCACCGGGTCAGGCCAGGATTCACAAGTGGGCCGTGGCTTTGACTAAAAAGGGCCCGATGTAAGGCCTCTCCTGGGAGTTAAAGCCCACCCATGCCATGCGACCCCCTCCCTGGAGCCCAAGGGGAGGGAGCTCTACTTACTCGTACCTTTCCTTGGCCTCGGCCGCCCGGTCGCGCTGCCGCCGGTTCTTGAACCAGTTGCTGACCTGCGTGGTGGTGAGACCCGTGGCCTCGGCCAGCTCCCGCTTCTCCCGGGGCGACGGGTAGGGGTTGTGCGCGTACCACTCGCGCAGCACGCTGCGGCTCTTCTCCTTGAAGCAGTAGCTGGTCTCCTCGCCGTCCCAGATGGAGCGCGGCAGCGGGAACTTGCGGCGGACGCGGTACTTGCCCACGGCGCCCAGCGGCCGGCCGCGCAGCTTCTCAGCCTCGATGTAGTGCGCCTTGAGCCACAGCTGCTGCAGCTTGGCGTGGTTGTGCGGCGAGAACTGGTGGCTCTCCAGGATCTTGTAGAGCTCGCGGAAGTTGCCGCGGTGGAAGGCCACCACGGCCTTGGCCTTGAGCACGCTCTCGTTCTTGTGGAGGTGCTCGCAGGCGGGCAGCGACCACAGGAAGCGGCCCAGCCGCTCGATGTTGCCGCCCTGCTGCAGCACCTCGCACACGCACGCCACTTGCTCCTGCGTGAAGCCGAAGGTGGGCAGCATGGACATGGTGCCGGCTGCGCCCCCGCCCGCGCGCCCTCACCGCCGCGCCGCGCCGTCCGGCATGGGCGCCTCCCCGCCGGGCGGTCCGGGCCCGAGAGGCGGGCGGGGCGGGCTCCCCGGCCCGGCGCTGGTGGTGGCTCTCGGCGGGCGAACTAGCTCCGAGTCACGGCAGTGCGGCCCCACGCCGGCCGCGGCCCCCGCGCAGCTCCGCGGCCCCGGCGCTCGCCCGCCCTGCCCGCCCTGCCCGCCCCGCCCGCGCCCTGGTCCCAGCCCGGGGGCCGCCCGGGGCGCCGCTCCGCATGCTCCGCGGATCCGCTCGCCGGTCGTCGCTCCCTCGCTGGCTGGCTTCTCGCTTAGGTCTCCCTCCCGTCTAGCTCGCTCGCTTTTTTAATAATATTATTCTAAGCGGGCATGAGGCGCGGCGGCCCGCGCCCTGATTGGTCTGGTTATCTGACCCGGGGCCTGCCCGCGCCAGACAATAGTCGGAGTCAAATTATTCGCCATGGAGACGCTGTCAGTCACCGGTAACCCGAGCCCCGGCGGGCCGGGCGGCCCCCCCACGGCTGGCTCCGCTGACAGATCGCCCGCCCGGCTCCGCGCAAAGCAAAGCGCAGGGCGGCTGGAGACGGGAGCCGGAGGCGCTCCAAGAGCCCTGGGAGGCAGAGAGGGCCGGGCAGGGGCCCGCGGCGGCGGCGGTGATTGACGGAGCGGACGCCCAAAGAGCAAGGGAGGAGACGGGCCCGGGAGGGAGGGGGGCGGAGTGGAGACGCGCAGAGGAGAAAAGGGGAGGACTGGGGGGGGGGGTGGAGGGGGGAAAGAGGAGGAGAAGGAAAGGCTGAGGGCTGCTTTGGGGGGTGCCGGGAGGAAGGGAAGAGAGGGGTGGTGGAGGAAGCCTGGAAGGGGAGGGGGGAGAAACTTTGGGGAGCCTTTAGCAGGCTCCGCGCGATGCCCCCGCCCCACTCCGGGTCACCACGCCCCTCTTGGGGCCACTGTCTGCGGGGGCAGATTCTCCCCGGAGCTGGCCAGTGGGATGGGAGAGTTTGGACGTTCGCGGACGCCCCTCCAGGGTTTGGCTTTTCCTGCTGACCGCGCCCTACCCCCATCTTCGGAACTCTGGACCGGAGCGATCCTCAAGGGAGAGAGGGAGGGAGGGAGCAGGGGACGATTTGGCAGTGGCCGCGGGCGGACGCCTGAGAATCCACTTCTCGGAGGATCCCGCCTCTCCTCCCTCTCCTAACCCCGCGGCCGGAGCCGCCTTGGCCCCGCGCTCCCGTTCCTTGCCGGGCGGGGACTCAGACTTAACCCCACGGGCCCCACGGATCGAGCGGCCCGAGAAGCGCCAGCACTTCCGTGTGGCTCCTACGGGAAGTGGACTCCGGTCGGCAGCGCCCGCAGTCTGCCCACGGGGAGGCGAGGGGCCTGAAGACCAGGACGGTCGGTCGGTCGGTCGTGGCACTTTGCCCGTGGCTAGTTCCGGAGGACCGAGCGGAGGCAAGACCCTGCCCCTCCCACCCACCCCACTCCACCCCACCCACCCCCTCGGGTCAACTTGGGATGGGCTCCCGCCACTTCCCGGCGTGGGAGCCGCGGGACGCTGAGCTCAGGCGTTAGGGGCTGTAAAAGGGGGGTCCTGTTCTTTGCTTCTTTGTCAGGACGGTGTGGGAACACGTGTTCCTGGTTCTCGGAGAGAAGGGCTGCTGATTCTATCTGGGTTTAGGAAAGCCAGGGACTGGGTTTCTTCCCCGGCTAGTCCTTTCCCCTTGGTTCCCCCTCTTGGCTATGAGCTGTTGCAGGCCTGAGCCCATCTGGCTCCTGGTGTCAGGACCCAAGCCAACACAAAGCCCAGGCTCTGTCCTCGGGGTAAGCCTGGAACCTGTGTGTAGGCATTATTTCTTCACTCCCGTCCCTGTAAGCTTTCTTGGAAGTGTGTGCTGGGAGCACTGGAATGGCAATTCAGAGGCCTAGGTTCAAGTTATGGCGTTGCTTGTTGCCTGTGAGCAACTCTCCTATTCCCCTAAGTGTCTCCCCCCTCCACCCCCAAGAGTTACCCCCCAGCTCTAGTGTTCTGGAAGTCTTGGAGTGTGTGTGTGGGTGTGTGGGGGGGTGATGGGTGTGGGGGAAGTGTTTGCTTGCATGAGAGAATGGAACCCTGGGACTGTCCCTAAGACTTTTGTTCTGGAGGCTTGCCCTGGCGTGTTGAGACCACGGGCTATCAAAGTATGTTCTGAGCCAGGGCCAGGGCCAGCTCCTTATAGAAATCCAGGTGGCATCTTTGGAGTCTGTGTCCGTGGACTGGGAGGAGCCCTGCTATATCCAAACCACTCTCTCCAGAGTCCTATGTGCTGCCAAACAGGATTTGCTCCAGACTTGGCTTTGGGGAAGAATTTACCCCCTGGCTACCCTGAGTTTCAGGGCCCGCCTTGCTGACCCTCAAGAAGGGGCAACCTATGTTTTTTGAGACCTCTGCTTTAGCCACATGGTTAATGACTATTAGGTTGGTGCCAGCTCTGCCATGGCCACTTCCCATCCTGGCAATGTCAGGCCAGGACTGTGGGAAGCGCCGGGCTGGTGCAGGTGAATGGGACTGGGCATCCCTTCCTGGTGTGAAACTTGGGGTCAGTTTGTGATCAGCTCCGCCTCCTGCTCTCCCAGGATTAGAGGAGGCCTGAGTGATCTCACAAGTCCCTTGCTGGTTCTAGGTTGGGGGTGAGTCTAAGAATACTAACCTTAGCCATAGCATCCATTGTGAATTTGCCCCTCCTTGGACCCCTGGAGTTTCAAGAGTAAACTTCCACCAGAACTGGGTCCTGCCTGTGTTCAGCTAAGGCTCATTTTCTGGAGCTTCAGACCCATCATCCCTCCCAGCGCTGTCCTCTTTGCGACCCCTGGGCGCTAAGCCCAAGAATCAGCCCAAGAACATGCCACCTCGGATAATATATGAAGAGCCATTACAGAGCGAGCACAGAGAACCTGTAACCCCATTTGCCCTATGTATGGGTGTGTGTCCATATGCCCTAGTTGTCCCCTCCCCTCATATTTGCAGGAAACCAACCGGTTCCAGCAGGTCTGGGCTAGAACATCTTGCCAGCAGCAGCAGCTGAGTGCCTGCTCACCTAAAAAGGTTACAAGCTCAGCTAGTGTTTCTTGGCCGAGAAGCCCCCTCCCTGACCGTCTTGGTCTTGCCCACAGGTCAGAGGACTTGGGAGGTGACTGGTGAGGATTTCACAGACACCAGCCTGACCCTGAGGCAGTCTGGGCCCCCAGTTCCAGTGCTCAGAGCAGCTGCCAGAGAGGGAGAGGGTGCCAGGCGCCCAGGACTCACCCCACGCCAATCCACAGGATCCCAGACTCCTTCCTTCCCGATGGCATACTTGTACTTGAGAGGCCTGCATTACTGTGTCATTAGGCACAAACAGCAGCTCCATGGCCAGGAAGGAAAGGGCGTTTGTAGACCTGTGGAACCCTGGGCTTCATCGAATTGGCTCCTCTCACCTCCTACATGGGCTGGAAGGCCCTGGGACCGCACTTTCCAGAAGGCGGCAGCAGGCGTAGATGGATGGGTGTGCTCCAGTGAGCTCACACTGAGAGAATGCCTCTGCCCCATGACTCTGGGTCCGGGACATTCTGGGGCCCTTGTGTCTGGAACTGGGCAGGAAGCTCCCCAAGGCAAGGCTGAAGGGGCCCCATTGCCCTGCTCAGGGAAGGCACAATGCCCACTCGAGGGACTTTTGGAGGAAAGGGGTGGAAGCAGCCGCAGCAGTTTCCCAAGGGCTTCCTTGACTTTGGGTTGGGGCTAGTTAGGAAAAAGGGGGGGAAATCAAAGTAGAAAGAGCTCCTTGGCAGCTATTTCCAACGCCAGCAGAGAAGGGGGAGGGGCTTGGTGCCAAACCAGAAGACCAGAAGCTTTTTAAATAAAATCTTTATTTTTCCAGCCCGTAAAAGCTGCAGAAATCCCCTAGGCAGACTCTGGCCGCCACGGCGCTGCGTGTCCCAGGCCCTCCCCGCAGACCCGCACTACGGCCTCAAAGCTTTGCAGCATCCGGAGGGCAGGGGTGGGCCAGCTGCCGTCCCAGAGCCGTCTCTTCCGGGTGGGACCTCACGCTTGCACCTGGGAGGCGCGATTTGTTGAAAGCGGGTTCGCAGCTGAGGGCGGGTGCGCGCCCAGGCTCCGGGCTCCTGTCCCCACTGGTTTCGTCGCCCCGAGGACGCAGCCGGGTCCTTGCAAATCCCGCGCCCATGGTTCTGTGTTGCCCAACGTTTGGGGCAGGTCAGGGCACGGGAATCCCACACACACGAATCCAGGCAGTGGCCCCGCGGCGCCCCGAGCCCGGCGGGCTAGGTTGCGGGGCGCTGGGCGCTGGGCTCGGGGTGGCCGGGATGGCCCGCGCTGCTGCACGTGGCTGGCACGGTCACACACCCTCAAGGGCCAGGCCGGCAGGGTCCGCAGTGGCCCCCGCTGTCCCCTCTGTCTTTCGGGCCCTTTGCTTCGCGGCCCTGCGCGGTGGTCAGGAGAGTCCCCGCGGGAAAACGGTTTTGGGGCCGCGGGCTCACGGGAGCCCTCGCTCAAACGAAAAGAGCGAGAACCAGGGCCCAGGCCCCCTTCGGAGGCGGCGCCGGCGCTGAGTGTGGCTTGCGGCGGGTACCCAGGCCCAAGGCGCCGCCCGCCTTCCTGCGAGGCTCGGCCCGGCTGGCTCGCAGCCTTCGGTCCGGTCCGGCCCGCGATCTCGGCTCAGACCCAGTCCCTGCCACTCCGCGCCACGCTCCCTTCGGGGCGCACAGGGGATGCCTGGCCCCTTTGCCTGCGGTGGGATGGGGGCCGCGGTGTGGTGGGTCGAGCGTCGGGCGAGGCGCCAGACTCCCTGCTTTGGGTTAGAGAAGCCAAATTCTGTCTGCGTGAGTCCACAGGGGCACCCCCAGCCACCCCTGGTGCCGTCTTCTAGAAAGTCCGCAGCCTGTCCTCCCCACCCCCAAACCGGTCCTGGGACCGTAGAGAGCCCGCGCGTCCT